CCCCAAAACCCCAAAACCCCAAAACCCCATTATGAATGAGTAAACTTGGAATATAATCATAGATTATTGCCTAGGAATAAATATTAATTTAAACAATGTTAAATCGAAATTTAAAAATTATGAAGGCTAATTACACTTACCTCATAACATTAATATTGATTTTGCTAAATTTGGTAATACAGGAAAGCAATCAATAGCAGATTTCTGATGGGTATCCCTAATACTTCATTAATTACCGAACAATGAGAAAATCGGATAACTCTTACTTAACTTTTCAGAATGATATTGATTAGCCCTCGGTATACCTTTCCAGCTATAGTTTTGAGATGTATTTGAAATTAGTGGCATACATTATCCCAGGCTAGAAAAAAAATCAAATCAACTACCAAGCAACCCTACTTGATTGTTCACCTCACTCTTAGATAAACATTTCACATACTAAAATCACATTTATGTAGTATGGAGGAGACTACGCAGAGTATACTTTCAATTAGACAAACAATGAGTTTCAAGCCAAATTTCTTTCAGGCTAATGGGTGCATCTATCTTTCTCATACAATAACTACTCTACTTCAATAAACCTGATGATGATGATGCGTATACATTTAAATGGGGAGCTAATTGCCAGCAGAAGAGTGAGCACTCCAAGTAAAACTCCAGACTCTAAGATTGGAAATGGGCTGTGCTATTTTGGGAATAATATATAAAATGCGCGAACTAATTTAAGTGCTTACGACTCTACTTTGAATGCAGATGTTTCCTATCTATTGATAAACGATCAAGCCAGATAGCTTAACAATTTCTCTAGTGAAGTATTTATGAAATATCCTAGTGCTAATACGATATAATCCAGATCATTAATGTATTTCAAACTGGATGAACCTGAGTTTTACTTGGTAGACTATCATTTGAACAGAACAATAGGTGGCGTTACATCAAATAATTTGACCTTTGAGACTGTATAAAATAGAACTAATATCTGCTAATGCTAAGGAATGCCTCTAAATGTACTATCAATAAAAAGAGGAAGAGAGAATTAAAACTCACAAAGTATTATCTTAAAGAATAATGACAGTGTGACAACTGGCTTCACCTTAGATTTCTGGATCCTGATTTATGATGATTTAGAATATCCTACCACCTCTCAAAAACCACAAAGGATGATAATTAATTCTGACAAGTTTGTCAAGATTGGCACAATTAAAAGAGACCCTACGATCTCAATTGGCGATACCTCGTAATATACCTAAATATCTAATACTTCACTGTATTACAGAGGTTGGATTAATCTAGCTTTTTAGCTTAAGTCAGATAGAAAGGTATATGTGTATAAAAATGGTTAAAGAACTAATATAATTGGATAATAAGGTACAATAAAGCAAAACAACACATAGTTCTAAATATTGCATGAAATTACTATGAAACTCTATAGGGTAAGGTTGCTTAATTAAAATAGCACAGCTCTTACTGACACTTTTTTTTACTATTCATATTTAAGTGGATCTACTAATAATTACAATGCTTTTACAAATTTGAACCCTCAGAATATTATATTTGATTTTGTAATGGCAGATATTTACTTTGAAACCTTTTAATACAGAGATTTTTCTTACGTAGACGGTAGTATTTCCTATTCTAATGCTAGAGGGAATAAATACAGCTGGACATTTAATACTGCAGATTTTAAATAAGATTTGTATACTTGTGGTGAGGAGCCAACTTATATAAATGGAATATGCTAGGATAATAGATGGTTTCCCTATTTTGTCAAAAGCAATTAGGCAAATGAGATTTTTTAGAATAATATTTGGTGTATTGCTAGAAATCTTACCTATGAAATGTGGTTTAAGGTCAACCTACCAGCAAATAACTAGAATGTTATGTATCTTATGCAAGTAATTGATTCTTATTCTAAGATTGAGAAGTTTGCACTGGATTTCAGTTTTGAAAACAAGACTAATGTAAATTATTATGATATGAGGATTGGAACTCCAGAAATTAAAAATGGAACAGTTAATATTAGCCAGACTATGAAAATATCTTAATGGTACCATTTGACATGGAAATAGAATACTGATTTAAAATAATCCCAAACTACTATAACCTACTATTCAAAGTATAATGAAAATGAGCTAACCTCGATAACATATTTGTCCCAGGGATATTTTGATTTACTTACAGATAAAAGTCTTGCACAAATGGTCTTAGGTAATAACATTCAAGGAAACGCCGGGTTTCTTGGTGCATTCAGAGAATTCAGAATATGGTATGAATATAGAAATGATCAGGATATCTCCTACTTTAGAAATATTGAGATTCCAGTCCTAGATAATAGCATCAGTTAAAACCTTGCTTACTACTATAGATTAGTAGGTGAATCTAATTACCTTCAATTGACTCAATTATCCAATTACTACTCAGCGAGCTCAGATATTACGCTTCTCAATACAAGATCAACTTAGTCTCAAATCAGATTTGATTAAGATTACTATCTTCACATCTGTCCATATGGATCGTATTTAAATGACAATACAACTTCTTGCATTAATCCCTCTCAGATAAATGTATAATTCACAGCTTATCAGAATTATTAGTACGATAAATAGGTGATCTTTGACTCTCTGGCTAAATTTGAGAACAATGACAGGTGAAGATTCAATCTTTATTTTACATTGTTTAGTACTACACCTTATAACCAAACCTATATAAATAAGATGCAGAGACTTTTCACTTAGCAAGATGACAAGTAAAAGTTGTCTGTAAACTTTAGTGAACTATCAACAAATATTAATTATACTGTGTAGCTTAGGATAGTTAATATGATATATCCTACGATGAGAGATTTATACATTTAAAGAACGATTGACATGAGTTGTCCACAGTTTATATTTCCTTAAAAACATCCTTTAGATGGTCTATTATATATCTACAGAGCAATCAACGCTACGAATGTCATAACTCTTAGAAATAGAACATATTGTCTTTTTGAAAACTATTACAATAAGACTAGTTTTAATTATTAGCTATAAATTCTTGATAACCCTGATTTTTCATCGGCAATGACTGTAACTTAAATCTCATCAGGGTTCTAATTCAAACAAACAGCAAATATAACCTAAAATCTATGAGTTATGCTCAATATCAGTCTAAGCTTCATCAATACATTAATTATAAACAGATAGATATACCATTAGCAAGTTGAAGTATAATTATATAATCAATCGATACTGATCGTACCTTAAAGCTACTATATCATTGTACTTAATGGAACTAGCCTAATAATTGATCTTAGCTCTAGCTACATCATAAATAATTGGTATGCCAACCAAGTGATTGTTCACTCAATAGAGTGTCAAAACTGACTCTTTAGGACATCAGTGGATCAAGCTAATATTTGCTAGATAAATCAGTAAAGATCTTCACTTATTATTGACAAATCTATCTATCAGGCTAAAATGATTATGATACCTTAGCTAATGTACACGTTCACAGTGACATCATAAATTCAAAACTAAGCTAATACAACTACAAAGAGGAATGTGTCATTGAGTATCGTAAACGTAACACCAAAAAATTAATCATGTCCTTTGATAACATTTCCTGGCATTGTTAATATAAGCAAATCTTCTAACTACACAGAAATACTTCCAAGATATTAGTTAACTTGTTAAAATAAAGATGACAGCATCACTTAATATATAGTCTAGAATATCGATTGGAAACTTGACCTTTCATAGGTAACTTATTTTGAAAGTTAAGAATGGAAAAACTATCAGTTATAAGAACTAATAAACTATCAAAATTTAAATGGTTTATCAGGAAATGAAACAAATTAAACTTTTGTTTAGGATTTTGTAACCAATATTAAATAAAGTTAGATTCTGGCTTTATAAGATGACGGTTATTGGTCAATAGTTACTTAGTAAGCAAGGTAAATCGTTTAATAATAGGAATTTATTCCTGTTTAGGTGACGTATTAGGTTCAATCAAATGATAGTTAAGAAATAACTAATTTAACATATGGATTTGAGTTGTAGCCAATACCAACTGATATAGTAATGATCGTCACAAGTGTCAGGGATAATTTGGTTTTTGTTGCGAATGACTCGATATTACTAGATTTATCTTAATCTTATGATCCCTAAGATCCAGGTACTGCATTGAGAATCTTTTGGAAATGCCCACCGACAGCCTCAAATCAACAAAATGTTTGCCCCTCATAAAGTACCCCTAAATTTTCTATAAGTCTTGATTAAAGATTAGCGACTTAATGGAACTATAACTCAAACATAACATTCAATGTTACTTTAATCAATCCAAAAAATAATAAAAACCAGACTTACAGTTTAAATATTTCTTTTTCTCTTCCTGACCCTGAATTTCCAAATTAGACATGTCCAGATATTTAGTTTACCTAGAATAATCCTGAGATGTTCAACAACTAAAAAAATTAAACTTAGTTGATATTCACCAATAATCTAACAAATTACTATATAAACTTCCCAAATTACTAACTATACTGCAGGTCAACTGATTAAAATATGTTTCATTCATTGCAAATATTTGACTCAAATTAGGTAATCCTACCTAGAGCGGATAATAACTTTATATTCTTCCTTTAAAAATAAATACTTTCCTTAGAGGTAAGCAAAGAGAAAATAAATAGTATGATAGAGGATAAAGAATATAATATAACTGTAATCATGTGGTATAGAAATAAAACTAATCAGCTAAATTACATCACAAGAAATATATACATAAAGAGACTGAGAATGGAAAGCTTTCTCTAATCATCTTTTGATAAAAAAGATTATTCTGTAACTACTGGGGCAGATTTTGTAACTATTCAAGGCGATTAGTCTTATGATAATTTAGATTTGACAAATAAAAACTTCTCTTATTTATGGAAGTGCCCATTGAATATTGAGGAATAGTAAAAGTGCCCTTTATCTAATTCAACATTTTTCAATCTCACTTAATCAATGAGAAATGATCTTTAGATGAATATACCGGGGAGATTGCATAGATTCTAGTTACAAATATATGATTGGACAAGAATATCTGAAAAGGCTAATACCACTGTGCTTATCTTGCCTAATGCTACTGAGAAGTCTTGCTTGACAATTTAAATGATAAATAGTAACTTAACAAACCAAATTCAGAGCATTTATTAGTATCCATTGATCCATTAACTAAATATCACTTAATACTGTCCAGATATTAACATTAATTCGATGAGAAATATCTTACTAGATGGAGAGGAAGTAGCATCTTTTATACAAGTTAGTCCGTTTCAAGGTTTTAAAAATAATTATGCGCTTGTCTAATATAAAGATCTAAATCAAACTCAACTAAAATTAAGATCAAACTATACAATCGAGTATGATGTAATCAGAGACTATGAATCAAGCTATTCACTGAGTCTTGAATACTAGCTAATTAAAATTGGTTAGCAATAATAAATTCAAGATGACTTATACATAAATGGTCCTGATGTTATGAATCTCGAACAGAGCAGAAATGGCTTAGTTTTAAGATTATTAAGTAGAAGCAGTTCTTCAGTAATTAGGTCAGCTAAGATTTAATGGATTTGTGATTCTATACTTTAGATTAGCTCGATCTGCTCAAACAGCTAATCAACTGTATTCACTCTATCTTTTTATGATTTCAACTACTATTACTTTAAATAATACGTAGAGGGGAATATCTTCAAATTTACTGCTGTTGTTGGAGATCAAACTTTATCTCGTTCTGTTCATTTTTCAAAAGTTAGCTCATATTTACTACCAAAAGATTGCTATATAGGCAACAATCAAAAGGATGGTGTTTTTAATGTTACCACAATGATCGCTTTGTCATTTATATGTGACTAATCAGAGCAAACTATCTTGAATAATGCTTAGGCAAATTTTAAATGGCTAATTGATAATGTGACATTGGATCAGTAGGCGATTAATCAATCAGACTTCAAGCAAATAATCAAGTTAAAGCCTTATTCTCTAATGCAAAATAGATATTATGATGTGAAATTTACTATATAATATTCAGATAGCAATAAAGCTATCTACACGTACAGAATTAACACAACTTTTCCAAATAATAATTTTACATTTATTGATGGAACATTTTAGCTTTTAAGATAATCAGGATTTTTTTATTAGACAATGTTTAGTCTATAATTTAGTTAAAACGGATGGCTCTCTCTTGTAGGTGAGAATAAAGGAAGTTTAAATAGATTTTACTCAGTCAGAATTTTTGATGGATCATATTGGTACTATCTATAATCATTTTACCTTTTAGAAAAGAATTTAAGTGGTATTTACCTACCTCAGTATACAAAAATCATTCTTGAGATTTAAAATAATTATGGCTATATTTGGTAGTATGAATTCCCTTAATATAATATTTACAATGACCCTCAATACAGTTTGGAATTTATCCTTGAGATTGTGTATAACAGAACTCTGCTAATTGCTGATCCAATTGATTCTATCTCATCTCTGTTTTTGGTGAATCAACTTTTAAGAAGAACATCAACACAGCAGTTCTCAAAAGTTAAGTATCTGAAATTGATTGAGTCAAAGCTTTATGAAGCTGCGTCATACTTAGAGATTAATCAATACAAATACTGTATAATATAGATTACATGCATAAGAATCAAACAGAATATGCTGCTTTTGGCTTATTAGTACTTTATGCTTTCTAAAGATTACCAGACTAAATAAAGCTATGATATGGATGATAATTATATGAACAAGATTATAATATTTGCTCTTGATAGTCTGGATGTGCTTTTATCTGATGTTAATTACAGACTGGCTTAGATGATATAATTTGTTATTTTTTCCTTGAGTCCCTAACCAATGAACTAATACAAAAAATAGCTAGATCTTATAAGGCAATTTGATATTTAAAGCCTAGCACCTGGTGAATAAACAATTACCTCTAAAAATGATATAATAGAAGTCATCTAAATTTTAGACCCTTCCATGAACTTTGACTTTAGTAAGGATGGCTTCTCTGTTAAAGTTCCACAATAAGTTATTTTTGAACTATATACTTAGAACCCTATTAATCAACCTATATATATTCAAATTAAGGTCTTCACTCCAGAGTTAGAAAAGGATATAATTTATCTGACTAAGTATCAAACAGACCTGATCATTCTAAATTCTATTGGAGATAGATTGTTTGTTAAGAATATTTCCTCAAAAATTGAGATTAAATTCCCATATCAGCCACAGCAATCTGATATTTTCAGCAATTTACCAGTAATAAAGCCTCTTTGTGTTTATAGATAAGACTCTAATCAAGTTTGGGTTAGTGATGGGGTTTTAATTATTTAGGACAGTACAGATAATTATACTTGCCAAACTACTCATCTTACTTAATTCAGTTTGATAGTTGATCCTGCTAGCTACTAGAGATAAAGTTCATTCTAACCAATATATTTTTACTCAGATAACAAAGATTCATATCTTATATTGATTGTAGTATTAGTACTGATATTCCTATTTACCACAGCATTTTCTATATATCATCACAGATACAAGCTTAATAAGAATAAGGAAAATATAGAGACCTAGTAAATGATGACCAGTGATAATTTAGTTGAGACCAGCATGATCAAGTACGATTATGTTTTCAAGAAGGAAAGAGTCTTGAAAAAATTGTACCTGATTAATAGCACTATTGGTATTATGTGCATTTACATTAAGAAGGTAGCATTGGCCATGAGACTTTAAATACTTTACAGTGATATACTTATAATGGGATTAGGTGCAAGTATCTTTTTCATTCAATAAACTTAGACTGGGGCTTCAATATTTAGCCATCAAGAATTCATTGATGCCGTTATTATTGCAGTAATAATCTACTTAGTATGGCTAATTCCATCTTAATAAATACAAAATTATCTTATGGGTAAATTCAATCTAAGATATAAAAGGAAGAGTAAGCATAGTAAAAGGGAAAGTGCCAGATCAAATCATTAAGAATCCTCATCTGGCAAGTAAAATAGACATTAGCCAAAGTACGGGAATCAAACTGTGTTATCAGACACATTGGCTATTAAAAATCTAAGAGACTAATTCAATATTGAAGATATCAATGACCAGACTAATTAAATCTAATTAGATAAAGATCAAGGGCAGAATAAGCAAGATGATGCAGCAGACATTAATAATAAGCTGAAATATTCAGGCAGCATGTGGAAGACCTTAGACTAAAAATAATTGAATGAGATAAATCCTCGATTAAGCAATATTAGTAACATCCAACAACATATGATGATGTCTGAGCGCAAGTACTCTATGAAAGCCAATGATGATTTTGATTCTCTAGTAAATATTGGAGATTCCCTAGAGTTTGACTAATCACGTGAAAAAATAATACTCTGCTATTCAGAAGCAATACACATTAAGATACCTAAGTTTGAAATGAAAAACCCAAATGATTAATTCGGTTCAGGCCGAAGATCCCCTAGGCTAGTTTAGTCTCATGGAATAAAAATAGACAAATTGGAAATTGATCCAGATTAAACCCCTTCTGTTGGTCACATCGATTTTTATCCCAAAAATCAGGACTCAACTTCTAATCCCAAGCTAGAAGATAATGATGTCTCCTTGAGAGGGACAGACCTTATTATTAAAGATACCTCTTAATTCAATGTTGAGGCACCTTATGTTTAAACTTTTAGGCAAAGTCTTTAAAAATCAGATAAATCCAAGCGGTAGATAGATATAGCTGACATCATATTAGACTTACAGTTACCAGAGGAGCATAACTTCTAAGAAGAATTAGGAAATATTGATTCATCTCATACTATTCACAACTAGTCGCATTTTGAGTAGAGCAAAAATGATGATAAGTAGTTCGATAGATTTAGGAAATACATATCTATACATATCTTATTCAATCTCTTATTGTTAGCAATTATACTTTATCTTGGAACTCTGCTTAGCACTGTGAGTTTAGAAGCAATGGCTATATTCTATGCATCTATAATAATTATTGGATCTATAATTAGTATGATCAAAGCTCTTGTCATTAGACCTAATTTAGAACAGTCAAATAGAAAGATAAAACTGAAATAGATTGATAGCAAATGTCGCTTATTTATGATAAGGCTTTTGATTGGTGATTATTTGATCAGAGTTATCGAGAAATATATAACATAAAGATGCATAAAAAAGATAGTGGCTATTTCCCAGAATGATAGGAGCACTTTTAATAGAGATTTATCACCTCATACCAAACGTAACATTCTAAGCCATGAAAATAGCTAAAATGGTCCAATTACTATGATCAGATAATTTACAGGATCAAGGACCTTTGAGTATTGAAAATATAATTACCGATATTATAATAAACAAATAGATTTAGAATTAATTTATTGATATTAATGATTCTTGATTGATACTTATCAGTGGGGTTTTGGGGTTTTGGGGTTTTGGGG